ATCATATGTATTCCCCAATATGTTATTTTTTTCTCAACTAATTAAATGAACTAATACAAACTGTCAAAACAGCGCCACAAACTATCACATTCTTTTCAAAATTCTACCTAATATTTTGAGTGCATTTTAGGAAAGTGTTGATCAACCATAGTCTACAAAATTAAAGTTAAATATAATGAAATACATTGATTATTCAAATCAAGTTTCAGAATGATAAGATGTTCATGAGTAATTCATACTGAAAAATTACTATTATGTATTATGGAAAAGAACATTCTCAAAATTTACATTTACAACAGTCCTTAAATTCAAATTTGCTACCTCAACTTAAATTCAAGAATTGAATTGGAACATGTAAGACATTCTCAGTTTAATTCTTGATGGCACACAACCCTGCTGTTGCCATTTCAGGCTGGTTTTTCTCTTGGTTGTCTTGAAAATGATGCACAGGTGTTTTTGTTTTGTTTTTATGCCAAAGGCTGGGTTAGAGTCAAACACATCATTATGATTTTTGGCAGTCCTGGCACAATTGCACAGCCCATTATGACCACAAAATGATAACTATTCACAAATAAAAAAGCAAAATTAAATTTCTTCACAGGAGTTTTCAGCTTTTTTCTGGGTTAAGCTTTGAATTATTGCATCACTGAGTACAATGAAAGTCCTGTAATTGTGCAGAGCGAGTTTGGCAAGATATGAATTAATAAATCTTTCACAACTTTTCTGGTATATCTGAAGCTTCTACTACCTATCAGGCAGAATGTTTATGGTGATATCATTGCCTTTGCTCTCCCTATAACACATTGTTTCTCTCTCCTATATATCAGTGAATCAAATAATTTGTCAGGGGCCATGTTTGACAGGAAGCATAATATCTTCTTCCCTTTAAGTGCAACCGCCTCTGAAAAAGTTATTCTCTAACATCCCTCTCTGAAGAATATTTAACTTTTATATTTTTCCCCTCACAACCCTCTATTTCTTTTACTGCCCAAACCGACAGTTATTGTTGGGCTTTCATAAAAGACAGAAATGTCTCTGTTCTAAGATAGACAACAAAACACAAGCTAATTTCAGGGAGTATAAGAAAGAGAATGAATTACCAGGTCAGAAAAAGCTTGAGTATTTTGATTATTTTTTTCCTTTTGAACACTGACAGTACACCCTGTCACATCTAAATACTAAGTATATTTTCTCTGTATGTAGCACTGCTTTGTCATGTTAACATTATTTGAAGTGCAGCTTTATTGTGTGTCCTTGTTCAAGGGTGATTTTTCTCTCTTTTTTTACCTTTATATCAGATTTCAACCAATATGGCTTATTTACAGCCCTGCTACATAATATCTGATAGGATCAACTTTATGTAATTTCACTGAAGAAACCATATGGGGCAGAATTTATCTTGTTTGAGGGTTTTAAGTAAACATAGTGTGGTGGATTGAGATATCCACATTTAAAAAGAAGGAACTTCACATTTTAGAGAAATAAATAACTTATACCTTTATATCAGATTTAAACCAATATGGCTTATTTACAGCCCTGCTACATAATATCTGATAGGATCAACTTTATGTAATTTCACTGAAGAAACCATATGGGGCAGAATTTATCTTGTTTCTGACATATATCATTGAGGGTTTTAAGTAAACATAGTGTGGTGGATTGAGATATCCACATTTAAAAAGAAGGAACTTCACATTTTAGAGAAAGAAATAACTTAAAAGTGAGACTACAGAAGTTATTTTATAAAAAATATATATTTTTCTTAATGTTATATTGGAAACCTTATATAACCTTATATATCCTTATATTTCTTAAAAATATATATATTTTTCTTAATGTTATAACATTAAGAAATGTTATATAACGTCCATATAACATTTCTTAATGTTATATGGACGTTAGACAAATAAATAAACATAGTTTTAAGTAAACATAGTGTGGTGGATTGAGATATCCACATTTAAAAAGAAGGAACTTCACATTTTAGAGAAAGAAATAACTTAAAAGTGAGACTACAGAAGTTATTTTATAAAAAATATATATTTTTCTTAATGTTATATTGGAAACCTTATATAACCTTATATATCCTTATATTTCTTAAAAATATATATATTTTTCTTAATGTTATAACATTAAGAAATGTTATATAACGTCCATATAACATTTCTTAATGTTATATGGACGTTAGACAAATAAATAAACATAGTTTTAAGTAAACATAGTGTGGTGGATTGAGATATCCACATTTAAAAAGAAGGAACTTCACATTTTAGAGAAATAAATAACTTATTTATTAAATATATATTTTTCTTAATGTTATATGGACGTTAGACAAATAAATGCACTTTATGGTAACTGTGCCATCCTAGGAAAAATACATTTATAAAATACATTAATTTTTACGTCACAGTAATATTTCACAATAATTATTTTATTAAAGTGAGATTGTGGACCCCCAGAGAGTTATATGGACGTTAGACAAATAAATGCACTTTATGGTAACTGTGCCATCCTAGGAAAAATACATTTATAAAATACATAAATTTTTACGTCACAGTAATATTTCACAATAATTATTTTATTAAAGTGAGATTGTGGACCCCCAGAGAAGCAAATTTGGGATATACACATCCTTCTAAAAATTGAATGGCTCAGTGATGGTCCAAATATTCACAAACCTTTTGTTTTCAGCACTGCCAAACAAAGTTAAGACTTTGATCTCTCTAACATATAAACATTCTTTGTATGTAGCTGTGGTTGTGTAAGCTGTCAGAAGATATAAGACTGTAGATATAACATGAGGCATAAGGAAAAAGACAGGCCTGTCTCAGATGGTGTACATGATACTGACAGATATTGAGACGCTGATGGATTAGAGGGTGAAATCGGACATGCATTTCAGATTATATGACTCCCACACATTCAATATTGAGTAGCTTGGGTTCAGATTGATCAGGGATCTCGCTGCTGTCTTTCTCAGGTCGCTGGATTTCGATCTTCCCCTGAACTCGTAACATACCTGTCTGAATAACATTACAAAGCCCTGGAGCCTCCACTGTCAGTTCTCACTTTCTCAGCCATCAATATGAAAACGGATAGATTATATCACATTTATATAATCTTAGAGAGATACAGTAAACACTTGAAAATATCTCCTCCAGGACCTGATTAATTACATAAAGGTAAAGTAAGGATGGCAGTGAGATGCACTGTTGCAAGTGGCACACTTGATGTGGATGGCATTGGTTTTGCTGGATCCTATTTAGGGGGCTTTAGCTTCTGTGCCTTTCATGTGAGCTCCTATAAAAGCTGCCAGGAAAAAATATATAAGAATCTGCTGTTTGATCTCTCTTTATGTTTGCTGGGAAAAAAATATATAAGAGTGGTAGGCTAATGCTAGTATGCACTTCAGAATTCAGCAATGCACATGTTTTGTTATGGAATGAATCAGCATTTTTGAAACAAATCGAAAAGATTCAAAACGTGGGACCTCTTGCATAAGAAATCATTCAGGTAAACGGTTGAGCCCCAAGAAAAACTTAGAAGTCTTAGAATAAATGTTGTGGTCTTTGCTTATAAGTGAACCAGCTAACAAAAAAAATGTTTTAGTTATAAGTTATGAAAACGTTATTTCTTAATGTTCTCTGAACATTCAAAACATCCAGTTTTTTTGTTGTTGTTGCTAATGTTAAGGAAACATAAAAAAGAAAAAAAAAAGAAAAAATTTAGAAGGGTTGAGAAAATCATTTGAAAGGTGTGACAGGAGTTGATTATATCTTTGTGTTGCGATCATCGTAATTAAATAAACATGTGCCTGCCATCCTTCATTTATGACTCCTTATATTTTAAAGATGCTATTCTTAGATGACTCAAACTAATTAACTGATCGACAACTGCAGGCAGATTGAGCACGGGTTATCAGTCTCACCCTAATGTGCACTCTTATCCACAGAGATCTGTGAACTGGTATCTCTCTTAATTCAAGCCATGCTAGTGGGTCATTAATATGAGAGTCATGGGGCTGTCAAAGCCATGGCACAGCACAGAGCTAAAGGACACTAATCCCCATTGATTAGAGTTCTCAGATCAAAGGCTTCCAGCACTGTCACTTCACCTCTATTCTCCCTTACCCACTCACGCCGCAATTAGGAGCCCTCTCAGCGTTTCATTAAGATGTTAAAAATACCAAGTCGCCTCCCCCTCAAGGGACCTAAATACTGAGACTCATACTGAAATCCTCATTTACCATTGTGAGAAACAAATCGTGGCATCTCCCTGAACATTTCAATCAGGTGGAAAGCCCCACTCATGCCTGCAATTCACTAAAGCAAATGCTGAGTCCTCAGTAACTCTGGACTCTACTGCACATGCAATGATAATGAGCTCATCGTCCACCAGGGATGAAAAAAGTACATTTAATTAGCAAGAGAAAGGATTTTTTCCTTGAGATTGCACATAGTCAAAAAAAAAAAAACTTAAGTGGGCTCAGCAGCAATAATTACAGGCTTTAAGTAAGGATTTAAAGTTTAAGTACTTTTAAAAAATACACATTTGACACAGATAGGAGAGAAAACAGCAAATTATAGGAAATTATGTTTAATTTGGCATGTTCAAAAACACTGCCTCTTATTTATTTCACTTTTGATAAATATCAGTTAAAGCATATTGTCATATTGTGTGTGTGTGTGTGTGTCCTGGTGTTCCCTATGTTATAGGGATAGTATAACACAAGTAATTTTTGACCTTGTGGGGACATATTTTTGGTCCCCATGAGGAAACAAGCTTATAAATCCTATACAGGATTATCTTTTTTGAAAATCTTTAGGGGTAGGGTTAGGGAAATGGGATTGAAATTCCAGTTTGTACAGTATAAAAATCATTACGTCTATAGAATGTCCCCACAAAACATGGAAATGCAACGTGTGAATGATTGTGTGTGGAAGAAATACAGCTGGGAGAGATACATTAGAACTGCTCCCACATACTGAGTCTTATCTTACCTTAAGTGCCAGTGCTGATGCTCTTCCTGTCTCACCACACAGAAGGATAATCTGCGCCTGAAAGAAAGAGGAAGCACATCACTGAACTGAGCCATACGTATGCATTCATACACACTCCCAGCAGGCATTCATAAATTTACTTGTACACATAAAACACATCCATGAAACCATTTTGTTTGTTTGTTTAGTTAGATCTCAAATCTCAAAACCCCCAAATTGTAAACATAAATCTTAATAAACAATAAATGATATATTATATGATATTATGAAATATTATATAATATTATGAAACCGACTTGTTCAAATACACAGATTCATTTAAGAATGAAACAAGCGACTGTATTTTTGAGTGAGTCATTGAATCATTCACTCAACTGATTTGTTCAAAAAGAGTTTCATTCAGGAATGAAACTCTGATATGGGACAAGTCCCCTCCAAGAATCAGGCCAAATTGTCCCCCTCAGTTTTTTTGAAGAGAGAAAACGTGTCTTAAAGCACACGTCAATGTCAAAAACGATTGAGATTGCCAGTCAAATCAAAGAAGGTGGGCTTTACTCTTTACAGAAGCCGGACATGAAATCCAGTGCACCTCTTCAGTTTTAATGGTGAAAGAATGTGAGATAGGCTGTATGTAGATAAACACTTCAAATTTGACAACCGTGTTATAATAGAAATGACCAATGATAATACAGAGTGATGCAAACAACTCAACTTTTTTGGTCATATTTCAGTGATTTGAACTGAAAATAACCTTTATCGTTATCTTTTAGGTGATTTGTGTAATTTGTAATTGAATATGTGACAAGACAAGAAACATTAACATAGCCGTTTTTGACAGAAGATTAAGTGAATGTTTGCATATATATAAAAAAAAAAAGAATTTTTGCAGCAGAGGTGGAAAGAGTACGAAAATATTCTACTCAAGTAAAAGTACCATTACATTAATCACATTTTACTTAAGTACAAGTAAAAGTACCAGTCTAAAAATGTACTCAAGTAAAAGTAAAAAGTAGCTCAGTAAAAATTACTTAGTTAACAGTGGGAGGGAGGCAAAAATGGGATAGGCCAATGGTGTCAAACTCAGTTCCTGGAGGGCCACAGCCCTGCACAGTTTAGATATAACCCTAATTAAACACATCTGATCCAGCTAATCTAATCATTTAGGCTTATTTGAAAACTACATGGTATGTGTGTTGGAGCAGGGTTGGACCAAAACTCTGCAGGGCTGCAGCCCTCCAGGAACTGAACTTGACACCCTTGGGATAGGCCTATAAATCTCAAACTAGTTTTTTTTAATTAAAGGAATCAGTTATTTAGAATAATAAGACATTTGGGCTGTTACCAGGCAAATTAAACCAGTATTAACAAAATTCATTTTTTCAATGCAGAGGAAACACAAAAGCTTAATCGGAAGTGGCATTTAGATGTATTTACACACTGTTTAATGCAAGATATGAATGCATTTAACCTGCAGTTACAAATGCAGAAACAATGTTTTGATATATAAGACATAAAATGTTGAATACTCATTTGAAATCATTTGAAATGAGTCATTGCGATTGAACCAAATCATTTAAACGGTTGATTCATTCAGGAACGAAACACCATCATTGCGCAGAGACACAAAACTATGCTATAGTGGCTGTGTTTGGAATTATTTTTGTTGTCGAAATAGAGCAAAAACAGGCAATATGTTCTAAAACGCAAGTCTCTTAATTAACTTCTTGTTTATTGAGCTGTTGTAAAAAAAATCAATATGTAATCATACTGATTTTTGGAGGAAATAACGGCACTCTTCGTGTGATATTGATTTACTATATGAAATTATATAAATATATACATTTTCTGCCCCTATATCTTCAATTTTGTGATCATTCTAAATACACTTCAACAGACTGAATTACGCAGTGAAAGAACACACTCTAAATGCATGTGCACTAGTCTAATCTACTAGACTTCAGGGCACTCTGTCTCTGTAGGAGTGTTTTGTTTGGTTTTTGGCAAAATACTGATAATGTCAAATCGCACATCGTTAAAACAACAATTACCATATTATTGCAGACGATATATATCACATACCCTGCACCAGTCTTCTTGGCTAATTTGTGCAAGACCTTTTGCTAAACTGTCAAAACTTAATTTTAACCACCAATGCAATGATGCATTTACGAAGTATTTACCTCTACATGTTTGCGAAGAGTTAATGTCGAGATTTTATAAGCTGCTAGTTTGGTCTCCCTAGGCAAACACAGCTTACACTGCGTAATAGAGCATATGGCCAGGGGTTCACTTCATTTCCTTCGAGTTCAACTTCAGCAGAATACGACAGCGTTTCGTTTTCAGCTGGATACTGATAATGTCAAATCGCACATCGTTAAAACAACAATTACCATATTATCGCAGACGATATATATCACATACCCTGCACCAGTCTTCTTGGCTAATTTGTGCAAGACCTTTTGCTAAACTGTCAAAACTTCATTTTAACCACCAATGCAATGATGCATTTACGAAGTATTTACCTCTACATGTTTGCGAAGAGTTAATGTTGAGATTTTATAAGCTGCTAGTTTGGTCTCCCTAGGCAAACACAGCTTACACTGCGTAATAGAGCATATGGCCAAGGGTGCACTTCATTTCCTTCGAGTTCAACTTCAGCAGAATACGACAGCGTTTCGTTTTCAGCTGGGTCTGCACCATAACGCCTGTCTTATCCGTCCCCATCTTTCTTGTGATTTTAGCGCCAGTTTGTTCTCCTGCCCATTATTTACTGCAGTAGTTTCCAGGTTTTTTTTTTTTTACTCAGTAATTAATGTGTTTTAAAATGTAGCGAAGTACAATACTTCAAACAAAATACACTTAAGTAAAAGTAAAATTATAGATTTTAAAAATTATTTTAAAAAGTAGTACACAAAACAGCTACTTAATTACATTTCCCTTTCATGGGAACTTCGAACTGCGTCCTCTAGAGGTCGCTATGGGGAACGCCTCGTCGTGACCCGTGTCTGAAGCATACATTGAAAAAACACCAACAACATGTTGGCCGGCGACAGCCATGACATCACTACCGGTGCGACTATAGTATGAATAGGCACCGTTTTTTCAAGGAAAAAGCTCCGCTCTCGTTTGTCTCTCTTTTCGAGGAAAGAGGGGCAGCCATCTGCTTCCCGTGATTCAGGAGGCACGGAGGAGAATGAACGTGTGGGGATCGCATGTGGATCTGGCCGATGAGTTTGAAGATGGGTTTTCCCTCTCGCGATCGCATGTGGATCTGGCCGATGAGTTTGAAGAGGGGTTTTCCCTCTCACAATCGTCGGCTGTAGACGAGAGTGAGCTGCTGGAGGATGATGTTATTTCATTAACATTGTCTGATGCAGGGGCCAGTGCTCTGCTGGAAAGCAGGAAAATAGCTGAGGCTGAGCTTTCCCAATCCTCCTGCCAGAGGCCGGTTTTTCCTCACGCATCCATCGATTCCATCATACGAGTTATGCCAACATCGAGGCGATGCGCGAAAGCGGTTATGAGAAGATGCCCCTATAGAGAGACACTGGCCAGCTATCTCTCTATGGATGAGATGTCCTCTTTTAAGACTCCCTCCTTGACACATACGCAGGAGGAGCAGGTCGGGCTGTCGCTTCATTGCACACGATGGTGATGCCCCAAGCATATCAGGCTGGCCTGCTGAAAGACCTGGATAAAGGCGAGGACCTTTCTCCTAAATGAGGTAGCTGAGTGCAGGCAAAGGCACGCTCAGCGGCCTTTACGAAGGTCCAGGTCTGAGCCCGAACAACCCAAGGGGTCCTGGCCCGTCTCGGTTTGAGGATCAGAGACGGGCACAGAAGGCTAGTGTCGTGGCTCGCGCTCCTCCCCCGCCCGCAGGTAGGGGTAGGAATAATCGGAGTATTTGTCATTCAATTTGACAAACTGAAATATATCTATATATCTGTCTGTTGTTTGTTTCCAGAATTAGCTTTAGGTTTTGTAATGTTCTCATCTTATTATTAAAAATAAATTAAAGGGTGCCATTGTTGTCTTTTGCATGCTGAATCATGACGTCTGTACATCTAAATAACTAACAAAATCACTTGCAAGATAATGGCACAGTTTTATAGGAATACACGTTTTCATTACATTAAATTAAGTCAGCTAAAAAGGGAGGATTAAGACACTTGTTAGGTTTTACAGTGATTAATCGCGTATTGACTCTTGCTTAAGTGTCATTGCTTAAATATTCCACAGTAAAAATATGGTAATGAAAATGGCACATGTTGTTCATATTGCCCTAATTGTGTTTTCAGAAGTGAAAAACTATTTGCATATGGAATGGGGATGTTCAATTAAATCTGATTAAGATTAATTGCTTGTCTTGGAATTAAAAATGAAAATGCGGTTTTGCTCAATGAGTTAAAGAAAAGGGTGAATCCTCAGCGCCCGTTGCTCAATGATTTATGAATCCTTCTGTATTTAAATGTTAGATTTTAGAAGTTATCTTTTTGTGTAGTTGTGCCATGGTTCTTTTCTATTTGTAATTGACATGTCATTTCATTGTGCCCTTAGCCTTATTCTGTTTGGACAGCAAACTTACTTTACTTTGGATAGTAAGTCTAATGGTTAGAAATGATTAATGGAAGTGTCCTCTGTGCCTTCATATAGATGATTAAATAATAATGAAGTTATGAGAATGAAATTGAATCATCAGAGCAGCAAATTTAACAGGTCGAACAATGTCTTTTGTTGCATTCTGCTATCTGATTAATCTATCGCCACACCCTCCCATTTAGAAAGGTCTCCAGCAAAAATTCCTGAATCAGCGTTCTGTCTGCAACCATTGATAAAACCTGTCAAATTATAATTAATAGTAGTTTCATGGCTCGGGTTTTTATGATCGACCCTTCTGATAATGTATTTCATTCACCAGTTACAGGCTGTGAATAAGGAATATGTTTCCTCTGTAAAACAGTGGGTAATCATCTTCCTCACTTTCTTTAATTCAACACAACCAATCACAGGATTTTACAAGGATTGACAATTCCTTGTTAAAATGGTGTTGTGTATTG